GGTAACCGTTGCCTATACACATGAGCAGTACCATGGACATAACAGAGTATACTGTTTCGCCCATAATCCCCCCCCCCCCCCATGCATTGCCATTCCTGAGGACTTAGGTGTTATTCCTCTGTACCCAGTAAATTCACTGCTATATCCCACCCTTCAAACCGAAACACAGCCATGCAAACACAACTGCTTCACGGTAGAAACACGAATTGGACAGAGGTGCTCAAGCAAACGATTTTTGTACAAAGTCTCCCTCTGGTAGAATGTATATCTGGTATGATGATGATGAAAGAGATTATTTAGACGATAAGATGATTCCATTAAATGATCATTTTGTTTTATTTTTAAACAATTTCATAAAAAACAGTTTGTGGTCACAACGGATAACCGCTGTTACGTAAAACTATTATAACCGCGGTTAGGCAGAGTGGTCAGATGAAGTAGGTACTTAGCTAATTAACATTTTGTTACACATTCCCTCTCCGTAAAGCGCAACTACGATATATTTACATTTCAATTATAATAACTTTCACAAAGTAGTCTTAGCTAGTATCTGTTTTATGTAGTTTTCTAAATTAAAAGTGATTCTCAACTATATTTTTTTTTATACCATGTGATATTTTAAACGATTTTAAAGTTTTTGTTTTATTTTTTTAATTATTAAGATTTGAACCACAGTAGATATAGAATATAGAATAGACATGATAAATTAATTATTTCCTTAAATTTGTAGTTTATTTGTACAAATAAATTGTGTATTATTTTAAAATTGTTTGTATCCGGTATCAATTATTAAAAACAACAGTTCCCTATGATTTTTGTGTATTTCTCAAATATCTAAACACCTTTACAAATTAAGTTTGTTATTGGCAGAACAATTCTTTCTTAATTTATGTATTTATAGGAACACCAACAGCATATTGCATTATAACATATTTTCTAAATAAGAAATATATTAATAATATATTTTGGAAATATATTATTTTATAGCCTATATGACTTGCTGATAATATAGTTTTTTATTAATGAGACAATTTTTAAAATCGGTTGTATAGTTTTTGAGTATATCTATTACAAACAATCATTTCTTTATATTAGTATACTAGGCAACATAATTTATGTATTACATTTCAAATTTTTTTTTATACAACTTAGAATAGCAAACAAGCTGACGGCCCACCTGATGGAAAGTGGTAACCGTCGCCTATAGACATGAGCAGTACCATGGACACAACATAGTATACTAGTAAGTTTCTAAATGTTACATAGGTTAAAAATAATTGATAAATTTAAAACATACCTATCAATTATAAAGTTTGTATCTTTCTTTTTTATTGTTGACAAGTGTCTGCCTTTTTTTTTTTTTTTTTTTTTTTATATAACATTTCGAATTTTAATGACTTGTTTAACATTTATTCTTTTTAAGTTTTAATATTTGCATGCCTAATTATGGCGAAATATGAGGACTTATACTTATTGTAACATCTATACACTTACCATGTTTCTTGTAAATAAATAAATAAATATACTATTTGTGATATTTTCTATCATGAACTTAACTAGATCTATATAATTATTTTTAATGATATTTTTACAACCTATCTAAATCTGATATAACGCTAACAATCTGGCGGTCGGATAACATGTCTGTTTATTCTCAAGTTTAAACTGGATCTGATTTCATTGATCTGATAAAAAGGATCGTTTACATCTTTTTTTTTTACACGATTTACGTTGTTAGTGTGCGTTTAGAACTATTAATATTAAATGCCTCGTTGGCTGCGCTATCAAATGTAATATTTCAAAACCGATTGCTAACAACCAGTGCGACTGCGCCGGCGCAGTCGTGCGCTATCGATGTATCTATTATATTTATCAATGCAACACTATTGTCTATTTACACATACTTTGCTTTTTTCTAACTACATTTTGTAGATAGTTAGAAAAAGGTTTATCTTATCAATATTTTCTTTCGCAGTCCTGTGTGTTTTTTTTTTTAATTTTCTTTTTTATACGAAGAATCTTTTAGAAGAAGCTGCTAAACTTCTTCTAACAGAGAATAGACTTTTTTTTTATACAACTTAGAATGGCAAACAAGCTGACGGCCCACCTGATGGAAAGTGGTAACCGTCGCCTATAGACATGAGCAGTACCATGGACATAACAGAGTATACTGTTTCGCCCATGGTACCCCCCATGCGTTGCCGTTCCTGAGGACTCAGGTGTTAATTATAATGTGTGTCTATTAAATTACTAGTCTTTACCTGCGGTTTTGTCTGGCAATATTGATTGAGAACAATAAAAATTTGCCTATATCCTTCTCCATTCTAAATAGTAGGTAGGTTTATACAAAATTTCACGACGATTGGTTGCGCCCATAAACACGCTAAAAGGTAACAAACAAACACTCACTTTCACATTTATAATATTACTAAGGATTATTATTCGGCGTTTTTAATTTGTTAGGTTATAGAAATGGTCGTTAAATTTAACTATGATTGATTAACTATTCACTGTGATATTTAGTATACACATATTTTAGTGGACGGAGAAGTACATAGGGTACTTTTTAACCAGTCCAGTGTACATAGTCTGATCATGCGAAGGAACTAGTGAAAATTTTTATAGAATATAAAATAATTAAGACAGTGCCCCATAAAAAACTGCTTCAATTGTGACAAAACCATAATTTAGAAAATTTAAGAACAAAACCGATGAAATTTCAATGGGTCCAATCTGTAAGTATGGGGGGAAAGGGATTGTTAGTAATAGAGACTGAGAATCCCATTGCTAGCAATATACCCAACCAGGTCGACCTCCTCGCGGTTCCCCCTGGAAACTATCATGGTTAATTTCTGATGAATTCATCATGATGGGCTAACTGGCCTGTTTTCATTCTCATCTATCACCCTTCACTGGTACTCCGCCAGCGTATCCCGTTAGTGCAGGCGGGGTTACCATACCATTTTCACCCATCAAAAAAAAATTGTCATTGTCATGAGAAACGCTAATAGCGATCATACGACTTCAAGTATAATGTTTAGAACAAACATAGGTACTGTGTACATTTTTGTAGATTACGCGATCCGAGCCAATAAATGTACGTAGTAATATAATATATGATTAATACCAAATGAATAATAAAGTAAATAATGATATATTACAACCGTAGAAACGATAATTACTAGGTGTCACATGGAAAAGTAACATATTGTGTTACGTTACAAGAATCGTTGGTTTAACGACTTGGACGTAAGATAGACTGTTTTTTTTTTTTAATGGGTGATAATGGAATGGTAACCCCACCCGTGCTATCGGTATACACCGGCGGGGCACCAGTGAAGGATGATGGTGAGGATGAAGCAGGTCAGTGACGAATTCAACAAAAATTGTTCACGATGGTTTCCAGGGGGAACCATGTGGAGGTCGACCTGATAGGGCATATTGCTAGCAATGTCGAACTCCATTACTAACAATCCCTTTTCCCCCCAGATAGACTGGTTATTAAATTATCGTAGAGCTTGACTATTTCTTAAAGAACGCAATCATTATCAGCGTATCTTCTATTCTTTGACAGCTGTAGGTATAAATAACATATATTTATACGGGGAAAGAGATTTTTAGTGATGGAAGTCTAAAAGCCCTATTGCTAGCGATATCAGCATTCTTCTTATGCTTATTCTAATATAAATAGACAGAATATTACCTGTCTAATTACGAGTACAATTAATATTCAACCATTGAATATTCTCTTAAACATCACTGCATTTGTTAATAGCGTATCTATTACATGTAAGAAGGTAGAAGACATGTGCCATATTGTCATGGAATGTGTACGGCCATTCCGTATTGAAAGGCGTGAATCGATTCCTAGTATCCGTGACGGCATGGACAATTGCAGTGTACGTGTATTATGCAATCCTCTGTTAGAAGAAACTACACTTCTTCTAACAGAGAATAGACTTTTTTTTTTTTTTATACAACTTAGAATGGCAAACCAGCTGACGGTCCACCTGATGGAAAATGATAACCATCGCCTATAGATATGAGCAGTACCATGGACACAACAGAGTATACTGTCTCGCTCATGATACCCTCCATGCGTTGCCATTCCTGAGGACTCAAGTGTTATTCCTCTGTACCCAGTAAATTCACGCCATATCCCACCCTTCAAACCGAAACACAGCCATGCAAACACAACTGCTTCACGGTTGAAATACGAATGGGACAAAGGTACATATGACTAAGTTATACCTTTAATGTAGGAATAATAAACTAAATAAATATCCAGGTAATATATTATGTTTTTAAACAAAAACAAGTACGTGTAAAGTGCCTGTACAACAATACACATCACAAGAATTTAAGAAACAAATGAACAAATTGTGTAAACAACGAATGGATGACAATAGTGTTTGTTTTAGCAGTAGCCGAACAAAGCCGGCCGCATACGACAGTGAGCAAACAAACTCTCAGCATCCGAATTCCGTAACCACTCGAAAGGTATTCACTGTCCGTCATAACAATAACACAATAATGAATATGTGCATCTAATTACACACATGCGTGACAAAGGGAAAGAAATTATATGAAATGCACGAAAAAAGACAAACCTAATGTATGCGCGCTCACGATTGCTTATAAAGAAAAGGCGCCGCGCGCAGCCACGGGCTCACTCAGCTGTCAGCTGAGAGGTAAAAAGTTACTGACTTAATATATGGTAATAGTGCAGTATAGGTAGGGAAAGGGATTGTTAGCAATGGAGATTGACAGCCCCATTGCTGGCAATATGCCCTATTAGGTCGACCTCTACGTGGTTCCCCCTGGAAACCATCGTGAACAATTCTTGTTGAATTCGTCACGATGGGCCAACTGACCTGCTTCATCTTCACCTATCATCCTTCACTGGTGCCCCGCCAGTGTATGCCGATGGCGCGGGCGGGGTTACGATTTCATTATCATCCATTAAAAAAAAATAGTGCAGTACGAGTATACTGACTCACCTGTGAGTGGCCTGGCTGCTGGCTGCGTGTCGTTCAGGGCGGCCACCTTGCTTCCGTTCTTCCTGTGTCCAGCTACAGCGGACCACGGCCGCCCGTTACCATTTAAAAATCGCCAACTTTTTCCAATGCACAGTTCGCTGATTTTCGTTTTCACCTTTAAGTTAATTGTAACTTATAATAAAGTTAATTAAGCTCACGTTGTTAAAGCGAAGCGTGTTAGTGTTGAGTTAATCGTAATAATTTAATTGTTAAATGGAATGTCTTCGCGAAGTCGTTTCGTTCGTGTCGGCCGCTCGGTATGCACTCAAGGGTCACTCGGGGTCGGTTGGTTTTATTATCTTTTTTTCGCGTGCTGTGGACTAAACTGTTATGGGGCGTGCGGCGTGCGACGTGCGATGTGCGAAGCGTCCGAGCGATCACTGAACATAGAGCCGCGGCGAGGCTGCGAGCTGCACGGTGCGCCGGAGTGCCTGCGCAGGCCCGCGAGCCGCGACCGTGGGATGCGCGCGCGCAGCCGCGCACCTACTCCTCCCTCATCCCTGTCCCACAGGTTTTCGTGGCCTAAAGATAAAATTTATCGCCCGCGTTCCTAGAAAGCGACGCGACTCCTCTATACATACGACTCTGTAATTAGTATAAGTGTGTTATTTATTACTATTCGATAAAAGCCTGTTTTTGAAGGGGCAGCTCATAGCTATTCGATAATGGGAATTGTCGATATATTATTGCCATCCATAATAGTTACATGGAAATCGTTGTTTTTTTTATGTACGATGATGGAATGATGTATTTACTAGGGGTGGGTTATATCTATGTTTTTTTTTTTATATACAACTTAGAATGGCAAACAAGCTGACGGCCCACCTGATGGAAAGTGGTAACCGTCGCCTATAGACACGAGCAGTACCATGGACATAACAGAGTATACTGTTTCGCCCATGATACCCCCATGCGTTGCCATTCCTGAGGACTCAGGTGTTATTCCTCTGTACCCTGTAAATTCACGCCATATTCCACATTTCAAACCGAAACACAGCCATGCAAACACAACTGCTTCACGGTTGAAACACGAATGGGACAGAGGTACCCACGCAATTGACTTTTGTACAGTCTCCCTATGTATTTTATTAATCAAGATATTACTAGAGGTTGACAATATATATCGATATCTATAATATTTACTTTCAATGAATACATAGTATAACAGACTCTTAACTCGAAAATAGATATCCGACCGATATGAAAGATTCATTCATTCATTCATTCATTCATTCATATGTTTTCTATGAAATTAAAAAAAAAGGGCCAGCTGTGAGGTTGAGTGCCCCAAGTGCCCGCTGCGTGCCGGTTTTTTTTAATGGGTGATAATGGAATGGTAACCCTGCCCGCGCTGTCAGTATACGCTAGCAGAGCACCAGTGAATGATGATAGGTGATGATGAAAGCAGATCAATTAGCTCATCGTGACGAATTCCACTAAAATTAATGATGGTTTCCAGGAGGAACCGCGTGGAGGTTGACCTGATAGGGTGTATTGCTAGCAATACATTACTAATAATCCCTTTTCCCCCAGCTGCCTGCTGGTTTGTTATTGAGTAGATTCCTCACTAGTGACAGAATTGTATTTAATTGATTTTTTTTTATGGTTTCATAATCGTCTCGTTATTTGGCACAGGTCTGCTGTTAGACAATAGGTGGTCACCGTCATTGTCCACCGTCCAGTGGCGGAGTGTTCCGTCTGTCACCGAGTTGTGCAATTAAACCGACATTTATTGTTCCACTGCTCTCTCCGTGACACTTTATTTTCTAATAACTTTACTTATCCAACAATACGGCAGTTTTTATATTTACCTTTTTTTTTTTCAATGTACATTCTCTTGTATAAACAATTTTTTGTCGTAAAACAAACTTTGTCGACCGAAGCTTGTAATTTATTAGTATCCATTCTCAAAAACATAATACAATTTCAACTCTCAATTCATATCATCGTCATACCAGAGGGAGACTTTGTGCAAAAGTCGTTTGCTTGGGTACCTATGTCCCATTCGTGTTTTAACCGTGAACCAGTTGTGTTTGCATGGCTGTGTTTCGGTTTGAAGGGTGCGATATGGCAGTGAATTTACAGGGTACAGAGAAATAACACCTGAGTCCTCAGGAATATCAACGCATGGGGGGTATCATGAACGAAACAGTATACTCTGTTATGTTCATAGTACTGCTCATGTCTATAGGCGACGGTTACCACTTTCCATCAGGTGGGTCGTCAGCTTGTTTGCCATTCTAAGTTGCATTAAAATAAAGGATTACATATTGAAATCGAAAGAATTACCTCTCTTTGTGTAAATTAGCATCTTTCTATAAAAAACAATCTGGACGCAATGTGTTTGCATGAGAATTGGGAAACTTTTTTAACCAATTACAAAAAGAGGAAGGTTCACAAATCGGTTGTATATTTTTTATGTTTATTACATTAGATGTCCGTCATTTATAAACCGATTCAGAGTTTATTTTTTTTTTATTTGATAAGATATACTTTCTGTTTGATCTCATAGAAATTTAATCAAAAACAATTCAGTAGTTCGGTTTCTAAATCATGGTTGTGATTATGAGCAAAATGTATTTGCATGTAATTATTTTTAAAATAACAATTTTGCCAAGACTGAAGCGAGTATTTTAATTTTGTAAAGCAATATTTGCTTGTGTCGTTTTTTTATTTATATTTCTGTTATTTTGCTGTTATTTATCTTTAATATAACTTACTAATTACTTTTATATCGTTTACTTTAATTACTATTACAATTTTTTTTCCTTTCTTATGGCACGGCACAAAGTGCATCCGCCAAAAACAAAGTTTCGGAAAAAAGCACTATTACAAATTTGACAATTTGCTCTCTTACCATAAACAATTATATTTTTCTTAATTATAAAACATAGACAATTAGTGATGTCAGTGCACTAAACATATAAAAATTAAAACACCCGTACACTGTCAACATGAATGACATAGTTCAATTTTATCTTCATCATATTGTTTTACCAGATTGATGCTTCCATTGCTTACATTGTTTATTCTTTTAAAATATTGTCTCATTTCCTTGTACCATAAATCGAAACAGTCCAAATTCAATATTTATACGTTGTTAATCCAAAAATAAGCATACAAGTTTATCTTATGCACTAGGAGGCATTTACGGCGGCTCGCGCCCACGCAATGACTTCATTCATACGCTGAAGTCACACATTTGCATCACGACCGACCACGTTGAACTTGACTGCACAATATCTTGGAAAGCTGCCACTATATAAATGCATTTCGGAATACTTTGTAAAAAAAAAAACCATGTGGGAACCTTTCTTTTCATACGTCTTTAGCATAATATTTATTATTAATAGCATAGCTTAGTATTTGCTCTTCTATCGCAGTTGTTTTATTTAATCGTTTTATATAGTAATATTTTATATATTTATTTATTTAATATATTATGTGTATGTTTATATCAGGATTTATCGATATATATCAGCGGATATACATATATTACGATATATATCAATTGATTTTTTCCTGTCTTCTGAACTAAAAATTTGGTAATTAATGTTTACCCTGGCAACACGTAGCGAAAAACTACAATTTAGAATAATTTTGATTGTTTCCCAAAATGGCAACCTCATAAAAATAATAATAATAGTTAGTTGTTTTATTTTAATTGTTCATTAAAATAATATTTCTTAAATAAACACTAAGTAAGTGTGTATAATTAGTAGGGATATATGTTTTACATTATTAGATACATGTATCAAATCTGTATTTTAAGAAATAATAGAATTTCATCGTGCCTCCGATCAAACTGTTTATAATTACTCCTCTCCATCCAAAGGTTGCCTGGAAGAGATCGCTCTTAGCGATAAGGTCGCCCATTGTTTTCTCACTGTGATTATTTCTTGTAATTGTTTATATTTATAATAAGTTCACTATTATAATCTTTTGGGGGAAACAATAAAGAGTATCTATCTATCAATATTCACCTAATAGGTGGTTAATTCTAGTTGAATTCATTACGATTGGCCAATTGAGTTACTTTGATTCTTATCTATCTAGCATTGATATTCTGCTAGCGTACACTGATAGCGCAGACGGAGATGGAGACTTTGTACAAAAGTCGTTTGCTTGGATACCTCTGTCCCATTCGTGTTTCAACCGTGAAGCAGTTGTGTTTGCATGGCTGTGTTTTGGTTTGAAGGGTGGGATATGGCGTGAATTTATTGGATACAGAGGAATAACACCTGAGTCCTCAGGAGTGGCAACGCATGGGGGTATCATGGGCGAAACAGTATACTCTGTTATGTCCATGGTACTGCTCATGTCTATAGGCGACGGTTACCACTTTCCATCAGGTGGGCCGTTAGCTTGTTTGCCATTCTAAGTTGTATAAAAAAAAATCATTTTCACCCATTAAAAAAAAAAACAAAATAATAACCCGTAAACTGTTCAAGTAAGGATTTAATCATATGCGTCTTGTCAAACCATTTACATGGAGAATGTGTCAAAAAGATGATAATCAGCAATAAATTCACGCCCGAATTAGTTTTTGTCCCGAGAACATGTTACGCGTCGGCGGAATAGAGTAGCCGAGTGAAGCTTTTAAGGAAACAAGGTAAATACTCAAATATAAAAAAAAACATTAGCTAAAAGTGTATTAATATAATTTTGTATGTAAAATTCTTTGCGTAGTTGCTAACCTGTTCAGAAGACCAAAACTTGAAAAGACAATTTTTACTATTTGGTAAAGTTGTTGAGTAGATGTTAAGTTAGATCTAAAATTATAAAGTATATAGATTGGCAATGTACGAGACAAAAATATAATAACCTGTATCTTAGAGTGAGAGAAACAATACGATAATAATAGGGAATAAGCAAGACAATTAATAAATGTAACGATACAGTTGTATAAGTACAGTGAGGCGGTCTTATTGCTGAGAGCAACCTTTACAAGACAACCTTAGGGTAATGGATTAATGTAATTATTATTATTGTTTACTAGCTTTTACCCGCGACTTTGTTTGCGTAACCGGCATATGTTTATGGACCGGGATAAAATATAACCTGATTTTTTTTTTTTTTTAACCCCGCCTGCGCTAACGGGATACGCTGGCGGAGCACCAGTGAAGGGTGATAGATGAGAATGAAAACAGGCCAGTTAGCCCATCATGAAGAATTCATCAGGAATTAACCATGATAGTTTCCAGGGGGAACCGCGAGGAGGTCGACCTGGTTTGGTATATTGCTAGCAATCGGATTCTTAGTCTCCATTACTAACAATCCCCTCCCCCCCCCTCCCTGACCTATATAACCTGAGTTACTTTCACAATTTTTTTTAATTTTGAAGGTCTTTTTTTTACCTTCTTTGGGTATATCAGCCCCATACCTGTACTAATT